TGTTAAAATACAGATTAAACTTAAAAGTACATTATGCTTACTTTTTTTTTCCACTCAAAGAACTGGTTGTTAAACATTTACCAGTACAACCCTGGATATAATTTCTCTCTTATAGAGCCAGGACCCCAGGAAATAGCTTTCTATCTGGGGAGGTGCACTCAGGAGTAGATCACTCCCTCCCAGCAAAAGTAGTGCCTTACCCTAAGGTTCCCTCACTTTTCTCTCATGCCAGATGATATCAGCTACATTACCAGCCAAAATCAAGATTGCCACCCATTTCCCTACCCAAATGCCAACTGAGCTCAGGTAAGCACTATATATGAAGTAAGCTTAGTCCCAAAGAAGAAATATAAGAGGACATCTCTTCCCACTCCTCCCCAGAAGGCAGGGACAGGGTTGGGGGGGAATCAAGTGGTGGTAGAACAATGCATATGACATCAGATCTTTTTGATAGATTGATAGGTTTTGCTAATTTTTTTCTCTTCTTCCTCTACTTCCTTTTTCTTCTTTTTAAAAATTCTTTGTTATAAGAGATGGCTCTGGGGGAAATCTAGGTGACACAAAATGAAAGACTGAATAAAAATCTATTAAGAAAAGATATAGCTGAGTGCAATGGGGCTTCATCTGATTTTGGTCTCCCTATTAAGTAGAGATAATGGTCCAGAGGGTGGATGGGGTGATCAGAATGACACCTTCGGGGCACAGCCCAGAACACCCCCTCCCCAACCATTATCCAGCCTGACTCAGAGAGGGTGGGGTGACTGAAGTGCTCTCGCTGCCTCAGGCACCAAGGACCTGTCTGGCCAGTTCCTTATATCGCATTGGTATTAAATGTTTAATTCCCTGCCTATACCTCATTTGTGGATGATTTGATTTGGATCTGGAGAGGTCAAGGGGGAGGCCCTGATAAGGGAAAGTACAAACTCATCTCCAATTTGTTAGTTCAATCCCAGTGACACTTCCTCTATTTTTGCCAGGAAGCTCCAAATTAGAGGGTGGGGTACAATAAGGTACAATGAATTCTAGGCTTCTCACCTTGAAGTTCATGGCATCAGAGGCTTAGAGCTGGACGAGTCTTCAGAGGTCAGATGACTTTCATTTTACAGATGAGGAAAATGAAACCCAGAGAGAAGTGACTTGCCCAAGGTCATACAGATATGACCTATAGAGGAGTTCTCAGAACCATTTTTATTGTTGTTCAATCACTTTGGTCATGTCCAACTCTCTGTGACCTCATTTGGGGTTTTCTTAGCAAAGATACTTAAGTGTTTTGCCATTTCCTTCTCTGGATCATTTTACAGATGAGGAAACTAAGGCAGACAAGGTTATGTGACTTTCCCAAGGACACATAGGTAAGAAGTATCTGAGACAACATTTAAACTTAGATCTTTCTTTGACTAGTGACTCCATTTAGGATTTTCTTAGCAAACATACTAGAGTGGTTTGCTATTTCCTTCCCCATTTACAGATGAGGAACTGAGGCAAATGGGGTTAAGTGACTTGCCTCAGGTTATATAGCTAATAAGTGTCTGGGTCAGATCTGACCCCTGGCACTCTATTCACTGTGCCACCTAGCTGCTGCTCAGAACCATCTCAGTTGCTAAAATATCTCTAACTTAACATAGATCCTCTCGTTCCCCGGCTAAAGCTGAGGAACAAGTTTTCCACAGCTACTCTTGGCATCGTGGTTCTTTCTCCTCTTTTTTTTTGGCTAGGCAATGGGGTTAAATGACTTGCCCAGGGTCACACAGCTAGTAAGTGTTATGTGTCTGAGCTGGATTTGAATTCAGGTTCTCCTGAATCCAGGGCCGGTGCTCTATCCACTGCACCACCTAGCTACCCCGCTTCTTTCTCCTCTTGTCCCCACTTCAAATGGAAAAAACCCCAAAACTTTAGGGGAGAGGTGCAAGATGGCTGGTTCCCACCTTCTTCTCCCTATTTCCAGGCTTATCCTTCCTCCAAAGCTCATTCCGTCCCTCTTTCTCCTCCTTGTCAGAGAGCTGCCCTATAGCTGGAGGGGTATCCAGATAAGGGGAAAGGGACAGTCCCCAGTGAAAGAGACTTTTCTTCCCACTTGCCCCAAATACCAATCATCCCAAATATTCTTGGTAGCAACTCTGCCCCTTTTCCCTCCTTTTATGCCCTGGACTAGGCCCTCTCTTTTCTTCTTCCCTCCCACCCCATGCCAGAGAAGCCTGGAGGAGGTTTCTAGTGAGTGTGAGAACCATGCTGCATGGCTGGCACTGCCAACTTGGTATCAACTTCCAAGTGAGCAAGTAGGCAGGGCCCTGGGCATCAATCCAGTTACTCTACCCGCCCCCAGCCCAGGGCAATGAAAGAAGACTAACGTGACTTGACAGGGGTGTGTGTGTGTGTGTGTGTGTGTGTGTGCGCCCTCCTCACGTCCCATTGCCTGGGTAGGGTGACGAGGAGAAGAGATTTGATAGGGACAACAGAAGTCATCTCGTCAAAACCCCTCAGTTTAACCCAGGGCCCCTCTGTAACCCAGACGGCAGAAGTGTTCTTAGGGTATGCTGGATCTGTGGACAGGGAAAGAGATGATGGGTTTTCACTGCTTAGGGGACCACATAGCTGAGTGGGGAGTCACAAAAGCGAGAAAGAGATGCTCTTACAAGTTGCTTAGAAAAAAAAAACAACCTGAGGTTTATATATAGTCATCCCATATACTTCCTTTATCACTATGAGATTAGGGCTGACAGTGAACATGCCTCCTATATTACATACAGGATCATAGATCCAGAGGCAGAAGGGACTTCAAAGGCCCTCTAGTCTAACCCTATCATTTTTACAGATGGAGAAACTGTGCCTTAGGGAGGCTGAGTTTCCCAAGATCCCACAGGTCTGGTCAGAGGTAGGATTTGAACTCAGATCCTTTGACTCCAAAGCCAGTGCTCCAACACCCCCTTTCCTCTTTTCCTTTCCTGTCTTCTTTGTGACCCTTCAAAAGAGCCCTTGATGTATAGTGTAGTTATCAGATTTGTTACCTGGGCAAAAATTTGGGAGGAGAACATTGGAATTTGCTCACAGTAGAATTTGCTCATGATACCCATACCCTTAAGGAGGATTCAGTCTCCCAGCAATGGGCAGAGCCGTAAAGAAGCATTTTTCCAGTAAGGAGTCAGCGCTTTAGGATTCTAAACCTGACCTGCAAACTAGGTTAAGCACTACTCTCTTCTGGGAGTCCTGTCTATAGCCTCACAACAGTGAGTCACCCATCAACTATATACAACCACTGATTTGGGTTAGACCCAAATGGATGGTTGAGCTGGGAAGGCAGGAGTCAGCTCTCTCCCAAGTCTTTCAGGATCAGTATTAGTAGTCAACATATCTAGTAGGGCCTGACCCACCCTGGGAAGTGACCACCACCACCATCAGGGATGCAAAAATCAATTCTCAAAATCAATTCTCCTTGCTACCAAAAATCCAAATGCCTTCACAATCCAAGCTTCTTTTCTAGCTCTGAGCAATTTCTCTGGCTGCCCCCCTTGCTTGGACTGCTCTCTCTCTTCGTCTCTTCATGGCTTCTCTGGCTTCCTTCATTTCCCAGCTAAAAATCCCACCTTTTACAGGAAACCTTTCCCAATTCCTCTTAATTCTAGTGCCATCCTTCTGCTGGTTATTTCTGATTTATCCTGTACATAGCTTGTTTGTACATTTTTTTGGCATGTTGTTTCCCTCATTAGATTGTGAGTTCCTTAAGGGCAGGGACTGTGTTTTGCTTCTTTGAATCCCTAGCCCTTACTACAGTGCTTGGCACATATTAGGCACTTAAATACTTACTGATTGACAATCATCTAAAACGTATTTATCTAATCAAAGCCCACTCTGTGCCCAGAGGATAAAAAAAAAAGGCACAGTTCCTGCTCTCCAAAAACTTAAAAGTGTATATGTATATGTGTGTGTGTGAGTGTGTGTGTGTGTGTGTGTGTATATTTATATATATTATATATGCGGAGATAAGATCTGTAGATATCTACATATCTATATATCTACATCCATATCTATATAGATATGTGTGTGTGTGTGTGTGTGTGTGTGTGTGTGTATACATACACACACACACACACACGGGAAAAATTCAAGAGAAGAGGTGGGATTCCAGTTGAAAATTGAAATAGATGTTATCTGGTGGTGACTGTTTTTGACTGGAGTGCAGCAGTGAAGGAATAAGGGTAAAGTGTATCTTTCAAATATGTTGAAAGAAGGAAAAATAAAATAAGTAAGCCTTTCATAATCCCTAGAAGTGATTGATTTAATGTAAACCCAAGTTCACAAAATATCTGTTTTCTATCATGGTGCTCAAGGTTCCCACTATCTATCCCGATTTCCTGTGCACATCTCAAACTCTCCCTCCATCCTGACCCCCTAGCACTTGTCTCAACACTGTGGGATTTTTGTTTTGTTTTGTTTTTGCCTTTCTTTGTGTCCTTGGAGCTTAGCCCAGTGCCTGGCACATTTTTTTTTTTGGTGGTTGTTTTCATTTTTCAGTCATGTCTGACTCTTCGTGACCTCATTTGGGGTTTTCTTGGCAGAGATACCAGGGTGGTTTACCATTTCCTTCTCCAGCTCATTTTACAGATGAGGAATGAAAGCAAACAGGGTTAAGTGACCTGCCCAGGGTCACACAGATAGGAAATGCCTGAGGTCAGATTTGAACTCAAGAAGATGAGTCTTCCTGACTCCAGGCCCAGCATTCTACTCACTTTGCCATCCAGCACATAGTAGGTGCTTAACAATGTTTGTCGACTTGACCTGACTTCACCCAGACGTCCAGAAGGCTAGTTGCTGACTTCTTCATGGTTAGTGACTGCTGTCCTTCTCTGGTAATGGCACCAAGGACAAAGATGACCTCACAAGTCAAGGGGAGGAGGGGCCTACCATAGCAGCCACGTGGCTCCCACCCCCACAGCCTCAGGCCAGCAGGCCTGGTGCCTCCTTCTGCCAGCCCACACTCCAACAGGCTGGAACTCCGTACTTACCAGGGGTAAGAAGGTTAACAGGGGGCGGACTCTTGGCCGAGGCTTGAGGGTGGCAGTTCCTGATTCACTCACTGTATTAAAGTGATTGTCTCCATAATAAATTCCATCTAGAGGAGATAAAGGAGAGGGAGATGATGAGCTAGAAGATCAAAGACTTCTGGGCACCCCGCTCCTGATATGAACCCACTAGATTTCCAAATCCTTCCTGGCCAAATAAAAGTCCTGGGGTAGCTCCTGATTTGACTCAGACAATATTATCTCATCTTATATAACAGGCTTGAGTGGGTAAGTGAGGAGGACAGACATGCATACCACTCTGTTTAAATGAATCTGTAGGGTTGGGTGAAGCTGGCCTGGCCCAGTTGATTTTTTCTTTAAACATTTAAAAAAAATGTCTTATTGATGGTTTTTGTTTTTAATAATAATAACAGCTCAAATACAGAACTTAAACCTGTCTTTACAAAGGGTTTTACGTGCATTATCTCACACTCACAACCCCCCTACACAGTAGGTGCTATGGTTATTCCCATTTTTCAGTATTCATATAGATAGTGAGTCAGTGGCAAGATCTGAACCCTGGAGGGAAAGGACTGTCTCTGTTTTGTATTTCTTTCCCTACTGCCTAGGCATAGTGTCTGGCTGTACACAGTAGGATATAGAACAGGAAGGGAACTAAGAGCTCATCTAGTTCAATCCTCTCATTTTACAGATGAGGAAACTGAGGCTCAGAGAAGTGACCTGCCCAAAGCCACAAAGGTAGCAAGCAGCAGAGACAAGATTTGAACTCAGGTCCTTGAAATCCAGAGTTGGAGCCAATGCCACCCATCCCCAGCCTGAGGACCCCTTTTGGGTGCTGGATATCCACTGCAACCAGACTGGAGGCTGAGATAGGTTTAACAGCTTGTCCAGGGTCATACAGTGTCAGAGGAAGCAAACCCAGGTGTAAGATTCTTCTGGACGCACCATGAGCACTCCCTCTTCCCACCCCCAACGCTTCACACACATTGAACTTTCCCTTGTAACTAGGAAAAACAGTTAAACAAAAATGTCAGATACCGAGAACACATCTAGATCTCTGCTAAGAAGAGGGAGGTATGTCGCATTCATTTTTTTCTAGCTCTTCAGAGCTCAGCTTCCTTTTAGCAGCCTTTTCATTAACATCATTGTATTCATTGTGTACACAGTCGTCCTGGCTCCATTTCAGTTCATACAAGCTGTTTCTCTGAATTCCTCATCCTCCTTATTTCTTACCACACAATAATACTCCTCCATTCCCTTATGGATGGATGGCCTAGTTTAATAGGTGAGATAGGGATTTATGAAGTCAAAGCCAGAGCTTTAACAGGAAATTCTGGCCTTGGGCCAAATTCAGTTGGTGGTAGTGGGATAGGGGGTTGGTGGTGGTGATGGGAACCCTCTGCCCTGGTTGGGTCATGCTGGTAGGGAGGGCAGCCTGTCCCTCAGAGGCTAGTGCGTGGTTGATGATTCCTGAATGTCCAACCCCTAGGAAAAGCTTAGGATGGGATGTGCTGCAGAGGAAAAAGGCAGGAGATCAGCAAGGAAGGAGTGGCAGTAATGTCTTGTGCCATAGGGCTAGCCAGGTGATAGACCAACATGGGGAAAGAAGCCTGCCCTCTGATTGTCATCTACACTCCTTGCCTGGGACAAAACCCCTGATCACTCTGTTCCCAATAGCTCTGGGCCAGGCCAGTTTCCCTAGGTCTCTGGCAATTCAACTTTTAGGGATTTTATAGCCTAATGAAACTCATAACTTGTCTGTCGCTCCTGGACTAGACTCTCTCTATCTGGTCTTCCCTCTCAAGCCTGCAAATACCCTTCTGAGGGCAAAGCTAAACACCCAGCCCAGCTTCCCAGCCGAAGCTTATCTCCTAAAGAGAGAGAAAAACAAGAAAGGTTTTTTTTTCTCAGGTGCTTGAATTTCTAGCTGGGATTGATTAGATGAGATCCCTCTCCTCCTTTCTGGCCTCCCAGATCCTGCCCTACTTAGAATCCAAACCTTAACTTTCATGTAAATGTGTTTATCCCCAACACTTATATTACTAAGTATTAGCATCCCAAAGTACTACCCTTCCTATACTATAATGATGCTAATGACACCTTCCCACTATCGGCAAGCCTAGAGACTGAGGCTTAGACTCACTTGCTTTCACATAATAAAGCAGCAGAACTAAGACTGAATCCCATCCCAGAGCTCTTTCTGTTGTCTCAAAATGGTGAGAGATTCAAGATCACCAAAGAAAAATTTCTTTTGCTAGCCCTAGCATTACGAAAAGTACCACACACACACACACACACACACACACACACACACACACACACACAGAGTCTAGCAAAATTTTCAACAAGGGTAGAAACAAATGTCTTAATCTCTAGTTATGAAGAAAATTCAACTGCTCAGTACAGCCTGTTTCTTAAGTATTCTAGTTAATCTAGATTTTCCTATCAGGAAAATTCTCTATGCAAAGCAGCCCACCAACATTTGGAATGAGGGGTGAGCTGGGGCCAGTTCAAGCTGGCTCAGGAGAGCTGATTGTTAAATTTTCAGTGTGAGCATTTATACCTGTGAAACCAGCAAATACTATAAATCATAGCTTGATTTACTGTTTTGTTGATTGTCTAGACTTAAGAAAGTGATGGATAAAAGTTAACAATTTGGATTAAACTTAAAGTGTCTCCTGCATAAAATTTTTTTTTTTTGTGAGGAGAGCCAGATGTTAAACATTTACCTTCACACTCGGGCCTGGAACACACTCTCATCTTCTCTTTTCAGAATTCTTCTCTTCCTTTAATGTCGACCTTCTTTTAAGATGAAGGCTTCCCTCATGCTACTCTCTTCCCTCCCTTGGCTCACTTAGGTCTCAAATTTTCCTAGACCACTTTTTCTGGATCTTTTTTCCCCCTTTTGTCATACTCTGCTTTGTTTTCTTGTACATGAAGTACCTTCACCACCACCCCCCTTTTTCTTTCTTTTTTTTTTTGTCTCTAGAAAAATGCTATTTGTTATACAGGATGATTCTCTGGGAAGAGATGGGGAAAATAATAAGGGAAACTATGGTGACTAAAAAACCAAAATACATCAAAAAATTTTATTTAAAAAATAAATCTAATAGGAGGATTACAGGACAAATTCATAGCCACAACCCAGGTCACAATCCAATGTTCTCTCCACTTTACCATCAAGTCCATAGTATCATCCTGAGGGGAGGGAGAGTGGGGAATGTTCCCGGATGAAGGTGTCTGGACGCCTGGGTTCTAGTCGCAACTCAGCTACTAACTCTCTAGCTCTTGGCAAGTCTTTTACCCTCATTTTATAGACAGGAAGGTGCAGACTGCATATATCTAGGGTCGGATACATACAGAGGATGGTATAGATGCTAAGAAGTAGAAGCCATCATCCTTGCCCTCAAGGGGCTCACCAGTCTGCTGGGGAGAGGAGATCCCCAAGAAAAGATAACCAGGTTGTCCATTCTAAGAGCTCAAGAAGTGGAACAATAAATGCTCTAGAAAGCTCAGAGGAGGGAGAGAGCCACTCCTACTCCTTGGCACTAGGGAGGGAGGAGAAAGATAAAGGTGGAAAAGATAACTGGATTATAAACTAGAAAATTGGGACAGTTTTGTCTTTGTTTCCACTTATACATAATAGCTGCTTAATAAGTATTTTTAAGGTCAAGCTACTCACGGAATTACACCTGGGAAGGACCTTGTGGCATTGTTTTAGTCATGTCCAATTCTTTATGCCCCAGTTGGGGTTTTCTTAGCAGAGATAACTGAAGAGATTTGCTATTTCCTTCTCCAGCTCATTTTACAGATGAGGAAACTCAGGCAAACAGGATTAAGTGACTTGCCTAGGGTCACACAGCTAGTATCTGAGGCCAGATTTGAACTAAGGAAGATAAGTTTTCCTGACTCCAGGCCTGGTGCTCTAGCCACTGGGCCACCTAGTTGCCAACTCCCCTAAAGGACCTACGAGATCATCAAATCCAGCCCCCTCATTTTATAGATGATGAAACCAAGGCCTACTGAGGTAAAGGGACTTGATTAGGGAGGATTTGATCCTAAGTCTTATCCCTTATTGTACCTTACTGCCTTTCTACTCAAGCTTCTTGAAATCAGTAACTATATCTCTATCAACAAAGAATCTTAAAAATACTTATTAAGCAGCTATTATGTATAAGTAGAAACAAAGACAAAACACAGTCCCAATTTTCTAGTTTATAATCCAGTTATCTTTCCCATCTTTATCTTTCTCCTCCCTCCCTAGTGCCTAGAGCACTGCCTTACTTACATATAAGAGGCATTCCATAAATGCTTGTTCAAAGAAGGCTTGCCTGTCAAATGAAGGCTTTGGACTAGATCACCACTAAGATGCTTTCCATCTCAAAGGACCATAATCTTACTAATTACTGTGGAGTAGACTAATTGGTCTTTATGGAAAACATAGGATCTGAGATGGGTCTTGAAGAATGGGAGGATTTGGAAAGGTAGATAAGAGGGAGGAAAAAAGGGTTCCAGAAACGGAAGTGTCCAGGGATGAAACTAGGGAAGTACCAAGAGTATTAGGAGCATAAGAAGGAGACTGGCCCAGCTTAAACATAGGGGTCACTCAGGGGAATAGTGGGAGCCCAGTCTGGAGAAACTGTTTGGAGTCAGATTGTGGAGGGATTTGAGATTCTACAAGCAGTGGGAAATTGACCCTGCAGGGAAACGCATGAAACATATCTGGATGGGCCAACTTAAAAACTCTTAGTTTGGAGACAGTTCTGGATGTCTTTCTATGTTCACCCCCTGGTAGGCCCGACACCGCCAGGGTTCTCAGCTTGGAAATGTGGACACTTTCGTGTAGACACTTCCCCAGGTTAGATTTACGAGGAACTCAAGTTCAGGGCTTTCTTTACCTCACCCAGAGCCCAGGATGAAAATAATCTCCCTACAGAGACTTATTTCAGGGAAGAGGGCCATCTCCAGTTGTCCTGATCTATATCTTGCCACTGGACCTGGATGGCTCTGGAGGAGAAAGTGGGGCTGGTGATCTTGCACAGCCTTCCCTCCCTCACTTAAATCCAATTCAGATGCATGTCATGGCATC